TGCTGTAGTTTCTTTATTTATAACACAGCCTGTTTGTCCCACCACAATTTCTTTGTTCCCACACTGTCCCGACTCAACATGTCCCATTTCTTGTTGTTTCGTCTCCGGAGAGCCGAGGTTTTCATCCTAAACTCTCTAACCCTTACTGTTTTCAGATAAGGGTGCCCTGGACTCGCGTTCAAGCCCAAAGGCATATTCTGGGAAAAATAACAAGAAACCGTTCCCAGACAAAATGTCCTCTACAAAGACTGGATAATCATGTTCTACTAGAAGTGTTCAAGATGGGTGAGTGGAGAAAGAGGCTCCCAGGAAGTTGGGAGACCCACTGGGAGGGTGCTGCCTTGGCCCCGGTGAGTAATAAGATGGGCCCGACTCCAATCAGCTTGGAGTGAGGCTTTCCTGACTGACTGACTTGTGTGTAGACATAGACTTAGGCTGCACCCAAAAAGTCGAATGGTGTCTAGATTTGAGTTGTTCATTGTTCTCCTCTTCTGCCCATGCTGCTCTCATGGGAGAAATGCCATACAATTCTTTCCATTTAAAATGAGTGAAAACTAATTTCGCTCTGAGGATTTCCCAGGGCCCATGAAGCAACTAGATGGGGAGGTAGCAAAATGATGGCTGGCATTCAATTCATCCTGAAGACAGTCCTCTAAAACCCTCAGGGACAGTGTCCGACCCTACACCTGGCCCTGCCAAGTTTGAATGGAAAAAACGAAGAAATGAAGAGGAGGAAAGAAGCCAAGGAATGGAGCCAGTGGAGCCCTCCTGCTTGCTCCAGCTGCTAGCTCGTGCCCCTGACATAGATTTTCCATATTAAACATTAACAGTGTGTTCACATGACTGTCTCCTCACTTGTCAGAACTCCTAGAAGGCAAGGAGTGTGTCTTGTGTTGGTCACCCCAGTAAGGTCTCAAAAATGTACAATAAATGAGTTAGTAAGACAGGAGGAAGAAGAGGAGGGAAAAGCAAATAGAAACGAACAGAAGTTAATCTCTCACTTTGCCATGCCCTAGTGGCATCCAAACCTGGCTGCACCCCCTAGTTGCTCAATGGGCTTGGGGAAAAAATACTAATTCGTGGTCCTGTATTCTGCTGTAGATTGGATGAATCACATCTTAGGGAGTGAGAACAGGAATCAGTATTTCCAACAAGCTGCCCAGGTTAATTCAATGCAAATGCTTTGTGGGCATTTGTTTGGCAGTGGGTTTCGACTTTGGCTGCACATTGAAATCACTTGAGAGCTTTAAAAAATCTTGACGTCTGATTCCCACCCCCAGAGACTTTGGTGAAACTGTTTTGAGTGGAGGTCTGGGCATCAGGGTTTTTAAAAGGCGAATCTAGTGTAGACACAGTTGACAACCCCTGGTGCTTCAAGAGCCAAGTTCAAATGCTCGGTGAGTTGGTAGAGATTGAAAACTGTGGCCAGCACATGCATTCAGTTATGGGAAAGCAGGCAACCCACTGCCATCTCCTGGCCTCCATCTCTGATGTCAGGCTCAGCTATCGCCAATCCCCCAGGGACATGTGCCCAGCTGCCTTTGTTCCCCTCAGACCCAGTTTCAGTGGGTCACACAGTCGCTGAGAACACACTCCTAAGAGGTGCTGAAGGTTTAAGGGCAAGAACAGTCATGGCCTCAACCAAAGGACATCTTCCAGAAAAACAACCTGCTTGGCAGCCTCCCTCACCCTATTTCCCTCCCTTACTAGAGAACCTTTCCACCCTCGTCTCTTCTCATCCTCTATAAAAAGTGAATTCTTACCTCCTCTTTGGCTAAGTATAGGCATGGGGAGGGTAGTGGTGGGAGATATGGCTGACACAGCAGAACAAGGAGTTTTCAGGTCAGTAGGTAGCAGGGAGCTATGAAAGCTACACACACACACACACACACACACACACACACATACACACAGTCAGCCCTAAGTATCTGTGGGTTCCACATCTACAGACTCAACAAATAATGAATCAAAAATATTTGACAGACCGGGCGCGGTGGCTCATTCCTGTAATCCTAGCACTCTGGGAGGCCGAGGCGGGCGGATCGTTGCAGCTCAGGAGTTCGAGACCAGCCTGAGCAAGAGCGAGACCCCGTCTCTACTAAAAAGAGAAAGAAATTAATCGGACAACTAAAAATATATAGAAA